AAAACATTACATTACAACGTAAAGATTAGGTAATTTACTACAAAAAAAATGAAACAATCAATGAAATTTTATTTGTTTTTCTGAATATGTGTACCCATAATTACCGTGTAGTGGCTGGCGGCTAAGTAAATCAACTACCCTATATCTTCCTGTGGGCGTCATAAAAGGCGACAGAAGGAATCAGGCAGGAGTTGGGCAGCAGCATCTTCCTGATAAGAGCAATTGTTCAACAATAAAAACTACGGTTGCCATTCAACTCGCCAAGCGTGGCAACTATGGCAGTATACCCCCCTTGATGAGAGTAACGAAGAGACGGCCCCTAGTTACCGGCGGCCCCGCTATTCCTGGCTGCGGAAGCAACCATGGTAACGGCGGGGCAGGGGGTGCTTAGAATCTCCGGTAGAGATTCGGTTGCCTCCTAAGACGACTTGACCTGACAACATACAACACACGCAACCTGAGGACTGACAGGAAGATTTTAGAGCTGGAAGAAGAGACAGACAAGTTGCGCTGGAATATTATAGGATTATCCGAGGTCCGAAGAGAGTGGGAGGACACGGTAATTCTCGAATCCGGCAACTTGTTCTGTCACAGGGAGGGCAACCATATGTCCGAAGGAGGTGTCGGATTTATAGTCAACAAGTCTCTCGTTAACATCGTTGTAAAGTTTGGAAGGGTTACGTACCTTATTCTCAGGATCACCGAACGGTATTCGCTGAAGGTCATACATGTTTACGCACCAACCTCGGCACACCGCGATGAGAGAGTGGAGGAAATGGTAGGGAAATTTGGGATAGGGTAATGGAACCTAAGGAGCCAGCAGCTGGCCAACTTCATGGACAAAGAGGGATTCTTTATGATAAACTTTTTTTTAACATGGCTGTTAGACGGAGAATGAAGCTTCAGTCTTCAACTGATTTGATCTCCAAATGCATGCGGCGGATCTTACGCAACATTAATACGAGTACTGCTTGTATTGAAGAAGCAATCGAGCGAAAGCTCTTCAATTCCGTCTTCCATAGTGAAACTACTCCGGGGACGTGGAGTAGAAGTACGGTCTTAAAGAAAGGCGACAACGCTCTTTTAAAGAACTAGTCTTCGTCCTGTTTTCGAGAGTCATTACGAATCGTCTCGCACGCAGTCTCGACGACTTCCAGCCTCCCGAACAAACCGGTTTTCGAAAAAAGCTGCATTACTAAAGACTACATATAAAAACTATGGCAGATTTTACAGACCGAAGAGTAGAATCTGCCACTTTGCCTTGCGTATGTGTATTATGAAAAAGCCTTTGATTCCGTCGAAATTTGGATAGTGCTACGAGTACAGTCCTTTCGGTTGTGCCAAGTTGACTGTCGGTATAAAAAAGTGTTGAAGTTTTTGTACATTAGGGCTACGATGGCTATCCAAATACAGAAACAGAGTACGAAACCTATCCAATTGCAGAAAGGTGTAAGACAGGATGACGTTATATCCCCGAAACTCTTTATCTCTGCATTGGAAGATGTTTTCAAACTACTAAACTGGAAAAACCCAGTATTAACATCAATGGGAAGGAAATCACTTACCTTTGATTTGCCGACGATATAGTCCTTATGGCATAGTCGCTGGAGGACCTTAGCACTATGCTCAATGACCTCAATAGTGTCTCCCTACGGATAGGTCTTAAGATGAACATGGACAAAACAAAGATCACGTGTAATGCCCATGTCACACCCATGCCGGTAGTTGTTGGAAGCACAAACCTCGAAGTTGTTGACGAGTACGTTGACCTGGGGCAAATAGTCTGACTAGGTAAGTCCAACTTCGACCGAGAGATCAATCGACGGATTCAACTCGGATGGGCAGCCTTCGGGAAATTATGTCTCGTCAGGTATACCTCAAAACCTGATAACGAGATTGTGCAACCAGTGCGTGTTGCCAGTGATGACATGGATCTAAGTCATCACTGGTAACACGCACTGCTGCCATTGATGACTTAAGAAGCTTTGTGCAGATTTACACGTTGTATACCTTATAAAGTTCGAAATATTATTTATAATTCACTAGCTAAGTCATTACTAGAATATTTAATAGAGATATGGGGAAGTGCATCTAAAACTAATATAAAGGATCTTCAAATACCCCAGAACAAATTGTTAAAAGTTTTATTCCAACTTGACTACCGCTTTCCTACTAAAGAGCTCTATAAAAAAAAACTGATACATTATCCATAAGTCAATTATACAAATACAAAACGTGCATACTAGTCAGAAAAATTCTCTTAGATTCCATACACACCCAAATTAGTTTTAAAACCAAATCACATAAACACTGTACACGAAACAAACATAAACTGCAATTACCAAAAGCTAGGACTAAAACTTATGGTTCGAAAACTATTCAGTTTGAGGGAGCGCTATGAATGAGGTATTTCATGAAAAATCGTTTTCAAATTTTAAAGATAAATTAAAAAGCACTGTCAAACATTAATTTAAAGACAACGCTTTTTTATCCTAATTTGGATATATTTATGTAACTTTATTCATATAAGTCACCGTATTTAAATGTATTATTTTTACCAATTATGTCATTTTTAAATCTCATATAAGTGAATTTTTGTTCTTTTTTGAGACAATAAACTCTTTAAACCTAAACCTATCTAAGACGTGGTTCTTCACTGCTGGCCGTATGAGGACGCTCAAGGTCGCTCAGTGAGATATTTAGAGTACTATACTTGGGCTCCCTTCGTGATAAACTTAGAAATGAAGATATCCGCAGTAGATCCATAGTAACCAACATAGCCTGACGGATTAGTAAGCTGAATAAGCAATGGGTAGGCGATAGTGCTCGAAGAACCGACAACCGATGGGGAAAAAGGTTATCGAGTGGTAGCTTCGTACCGGCAGGCGAAGTATAAGGCAACCTCCACTATATGGAGTGACGAGCTGGTAAGACATGCATGAAGTCGATGGATGCAGGTGTCTTAGGACCGTGATTTGTGGTATGCTTTGGAGAAGGCCTATGTTCAGCAGTGGACTTGTGAAGGGTTGTAATGATGATGATGATGAATTACTTTTGAGGGGTTTGTTTTGTTTGTTTGACTTGCATTAGTAAGTTGCCTATCAAGCGTAGGGACTATGGCAATTATCCCTTGGGAGGCCTTTGTTCAGCAGTGGGCTTTGATAGGTTGTAATTAATGATCATACACATAAATATGGAACACTTTTATAGATATGAATGTATGTATTTTTATAATTATAGTTAATGCCCGATTTTTTTTCATGTATAAGTGTATTTCCTCCATCCTGAATTTGTGTTGGATGGCAATAATGATGATGTTAATGATAATGGTGATAAGAAAGTTGTAGTTTTATTAAAATTGTAAAAAAATCATATAGTGGTTCTACTATACGCTTCAGCAATAATATTATGGTTGAAGCACATATGGGTTGGCTCGATTCGGGGTTTCTCTGACCCATTCGTGCTTACAGAATAACATCTCAATGCTGCTGTGTGTGTGGTCGGAGTAGAGAAACGGAGACCCTTTTTACTGGAAACGAGACATTCCATCTTAGTCCGGCGTGGCAATGCATCAGCATTTTGATTTCAAATCGAGCACAGATGTAGATATCTGTGGGCCACAGCATCTACTTACCATCAGGTGGACTGTGTGCTCGTTTGTCACACTTATTCTATTAAATATATACTGGATGACCTTTTTTATCGTCTGGAAAAAATAGGCTATAACATATGAACGAAGTACAAGCCTATGGCACTGATATTTTACAAAAATAAAAACAAAAGTTTTGAGTTGAATAAATACATTAATTGAAATCTGTCGAAATTCAAATCATATCCACCCTACTTTACGAACGGCTATAAAACAATAATTTTGCAGGCATCTTTGACCTTGTCACTTTACGGGGTCACAGATTAGGGTGGATATAATTTGAATTTCGATAGATTTTAATTAATTAATTAATTTAATGAAAATTTTTGTTTTTATTTTTTATAAAATATCTATGCCATAGGCTTCTATTCCATTCACATGTTACACTTATTTTTCCAGGCGGTAAAAAAGGTCATTCAGTATGTATAAAATTTTTGTAACAAGAAAATTGACATATTTAGTTCGTCAATAACTATTGCGTTTAATATTTTCTCTACTTCGACTTCTTCTGTTTCTTCATCATCATCAGCCCATAAAAATTCATCGCTGGACATATTATTATTTATTAAAAAATATTTTACTTGTTTGCACTTTGATGTAGATTTAGGTAGATGGAGAATATCTTGTGGCGTTGATTCAGCCTTTTGTATTTGTGGGTAAATAAAGTTTAAATAAAAAAAGGTGTATATGTGGTCTGCGCGTGCACTTATGGCCTCGCATTATATAGTACTCTCTACACGTTCGGCGCTTTCGTTGGAGAGTAATATATTCCTTTGTTCAGTTATTTTGGAGTGCCACAAGAACATACTGTTTATAGTGATGAAACCTCGAGTTGGACTGGATATGTGGACACAGTTACAAGTCATTAAAAAAAAGATTTCTCTAAGATTAAAATTAATATATTATTTTAACATTGTGATGTCTTTATTTAATATTAGAGACATAGACTTCAGGATAAGCCAGCAAGCAGCGAGATATCGAATCGATATCGATGATAACGAATGCTCAAGGCGCGTAACACTTATTTCATGGTTTCTAATTCAAACCATAATTTAAACGATAACGCAGGGGCGCCAATCCGCTAGTGGTCATGTCTCTACCTGAACTTCTTCAGCAGTTGTCACTTCAGCTTCAATTGAAATCAGCCATTGTTATATAAAGTTAAAGTTACATCTTTTGTACATCCCACTGTTAGGCACATGCCTCCTCTCATTTCTGAAAGGATTTTAGTGCAAGCAAATGTCTGCATCGCTGCCTCAATAGGTTTTGGTGAACTTCACTTAATCTTCAATTTTTATATAATATAATTTAATAAAATTAAAACGACTTAAAATAACTATCGGCTAAAATATTACGTAGATTCATTTTTCCTGCCGAGCTGTTCGGCTTCCTCCATAGTGTCAGGTAAATTTGAGCCCAGGGTCTCTGGAGTGATGAGCACCAGCAATCCAGATAAAAGGGCAAACCCGGCGAAAAGGGCAAAAGGCAGATCATCCCAGACTGCTGCAGCCTGAAATAATGTCATTTAATTATTTATCACTATATAGTTTCATATAGATACTGAAAATTCATAAAACCTCGTAAATATACGTATATGATGCCAACTAACTTAATTGCCTTTCAGTTAACAGCCTAGTCTTAATTTAACCGTCTCGTTTAAAGAAATTTATAAGGTGACCATGCCATATAATGTCGCTGATCTGTGCCTAATTATGCACTATGTGTTATTTTATATAAATATACGCGGCTTTAGGGTAGCTCAAGAGCCGACCTAGACGCACAAACAACCTACTGTTGCTGATATTACAAGAAGAGTGCAATATTGTATTAGACGCGTCGGCTGAATATCATTCAGGCCTCTAGTTTTCATTTACGTTTACGTGGTATATAATAGTTTTATCAGTAATTGGTCGGCTCAACCGTCGCAGAACTACGCTCTCATAGAATACCAGCGTAAAATAGCAGCGTAATGCCGCTGAGTTTCGTGTGATGAGTGCAGATTACCAGAGACCCTTTTTACTGGAATCGAGTCATTCCATCTTAGTCCTCAGAATATAATTCAGGTTAAGTGTGGATGTCTATGAGCCACAGTATCCACTTACCATCAGGTGGAATATGTGCTCGTTTGTCAGCCAATGTTATAAAAAATTAGTTGAACGCCGCCATTTGGTAAAAAGGCTAGGCTGTTTACTAAAATGCTAATTGAGTTACTTGGCAGCGACATGTATACAAAATGTACAAAAAGCAAACATCAAAAACAACTATAACAAACGTAATGTTGCATGTTGATGTCGATAAAAGAATTAATTAGCTATGATCCGGTGCAAAAATAATATGGTGTGTATTAAATTTTTCTTAAAGTTTTAACTATATTTTTAAAAACGAAACTTAGAATCGTATAACCGTCAGCTGTGTGTATTTTCCTAAAGTTTATTTCCGGGGCAGGTGTAAAAGCGGATATAGACATTTAGTACTAGCTGTTACCCCCGGCTTTGCCCGCGTGGTCACTGGGAAATGAACTATCCATTGCTTTTTGAATTGAAAGAAAACTGAGTTTTATAGATTTGTCAGAGATGCAGCCATTAAAAGGAAACTGAGCAAAATTGATTCGTCAGCCTATTTAAATGTTTTGAAACGCAGCGTATAGGAAAGCATGAAAATAGCCTGTTTATTCTAAATGGAAATAGGATATTTTTTAATTAAAGGAAACTGAGCATAATTATCCGTCAGGGATGCAGACTTTTGAAAAGAAACTGAGCTAAATTGATTCGTCAGAGATGCAGTTTTCTGAATTGAAAGGAAACTGAACCAAATAAAAGATCCGTCAGAGATGCAGCCTTTTGAGTTGAAAGGAAACTGAGCTTAATGGGTCCATCAGAGGTGCAGCATTTGGAATTGAAAAGAAACTGAGCTAAATAGGAAATTTTGAATTGAAAGGGAAGATCTGTGGGAATTCTGATTAATTGATTGTGGGAATTTTGGAAAAAAAAACTAACTGAACACTATTTTAAGACGCTACTGTACACAATGTTATAATATGTTTTTCCATTCGGGGAAATAATGTGGAGATTCTTTAGATTAGATTTATTTTTTATAGATTTTTAGATTAGATTCTGGAGAATAAGAACCCAAATTATTAACAAAAACCCCCCCATAGTTTCCAGCATTGATATCATTATACAAATGCACTCTCATATTCATATTTAAAATGAATTTTGTCACCTTGTTCCACAAAATAGACGACTTGAGGCATGCCTTAATTTCATCTGCAGGTGTACCCTTTTGAATGACAGGTAAAGTTTGGCGAAAGTCACCAGCCAGTAAAATCACCATTCCTCCCATTACATCGGTATTGCTGCGCAAATCCTGGAGCGTTCGATTTATTGCTTCTACAGATCTTTATGCGACATTGTACTTTCGTCCCACACTAAAAGTTTGCACTGTCGTAGCATTATACCTTGTGCACTATTTTTGCTAAAGTTACAGATCGACGATTCTTCCTGGGCTAGATTTAGAGGGAGTTTTAAAACAGAATGTGCAGTGCGGCCCCCGCTTAGCAGCGTGGCGGTTATACCGGAGAAAGTTACGACCACAGCAATGTAAAAAAATCTTTCCGTACTTGTGCTAATAATAAATTTAACAAAAATGTCTTCCCATTTCCTCCAGGGGCATCTAAAAAGAAAAGTGCACCATTTCCAGATTCAATTTGTCCTAATACTTTGTCAAAAGCTCGTAAAAACGAGCAAAAGTTCGGGAAGCAAGTGGGGTACAAATTCAGCTACACTGCGCAAAGCTGGTATATCGTAGTTTGTTTCACGTATAATTTCATCACTTAGTACATTTTCGGTTGTACGCTGAGGGCTTATCATTCCAAAGTCGCTTAATTTTTTGCCTACCATTGCCATTACTTTATCTTCAATTTTTCCAAGTGCTTCATTATAAATGTGTTCATTGTATGTCATGTTCGCGTGTCTGCTGTAACCTTCGCAAAATATCTTCCGCCATGTACTCTTTATATTTGTCCCACTTCATGTGCATTAGATAGCCCGCAAAGGTGACTGGCACTGCACAGCTTCCTACATGGTTTTATCCCAGTGATTATCGTTTTCTAAAAGATGCAGAGCTTCACATGCTTCTCTATAAGTTGCGCATTCCTGACCATTGACAGTTTTAAGGTCTTTATATCCTGTGGGACCCCGAACATGGTGCAGCAGCAATCGTAAACAGAAACATTCAAAATTAGTTACATGGACGGTATACACACGACCAAGGGCATCTGATGACTTTACACCGGGCCAATTTGCAACAGGCGCGCCTTGAATACGGCGTTTCCACTCCTTCCTAGATGTGTTCCAAGTATAATAGCGGGGGACTTCAGAATATAACAACGTTTTTGCAAAGGGGTCGGTTTGACAAAGTTGAAAGAAGGCTGTTAGTGTAGTTTTTGGCGGTGATGCCATTATTTCTTGGAAACACTACTCTCTTTCTTGTTTCGGTGAAATATACACGCTCTCCATTTTCTAAGTGTACAGCAAGGTGAGTAACTGTTGGGTGCTTTCGTGTAAAGGGAAGTCAATGAGACGTCACGCTGCCTCGTTACTGCTGACATAACGTCCTGCTTGAAAGGTCTGTACTTCATTAACGGGTTTTGCCTCACCTTCACTCCTGAAATTAAATATTGCTTGGTCGCTTTTTTTATTTATTTACTTACAGATATACTTGATTGCACGGACAGAGCTACATACTTCTACATTAATGTGGGCATTAAACATTTTACATCGAATGGGCGAATACGGGACAATCCAGCTGTTATCTAAGGTTTCGAATGCTCTAGAGCGAGATTTGATTGTAACTTTCCTGCCACCATCTTCGGGAGCTCTGCGTCTGTATAAAAATTTCTTTGTACATTTTCCTTTTTTCATACATGGCGATATTGAATTTCGTGCTCCACATGGACCGTGAATCATATTTCGGACGATGGTATCATACAATTCTTTATCTTGCTCAGGATCCGGAATCTCGGCGCTTATTATGTCGTCTATTTGGCTAGGCCGCAACTTCTCTTTAAGCCATATTAGAATGTGGGCATGCGGTAATCCTCTTTTTTGCCATTAAATTTAATACATGAAGCACTGCACCTCTCCGAAAATTTTCCCTTTGTTAATTACATACATTAATTTTTGTACTTTTAATCTAAATACTCTAGCAACTAAATCGTGTCTGTCAGTACTTTTTTGGCCCGGTATTAGCTCCTCGGTTATTTCTTTCCATATGGGATTGCAAGTAAAACTAACAAAAAGATCAGGTCTTCCGCAAGTTCGTACATAGGCGAATGCGTCTTGTGTGTACGTACTTATGTAGATAGCGGGGACTGTTAACGATTGATGAGGGCAGAATTACTATTTTACTTAAATCTCTGGGGTTTACATTGGCGTCGCTAGAAACTGCATCTAGTAAATGTATATAATTCTCAACGCGCAGCTTTTTTTGATTTAAAGTTATATATCTTTAAATAACGTTCTTAATAACGTTTCTTTTCAATAACGTTTAAAAGACGTTCACTTTCTACCTTCACATACATGTCTACTAAAAATTGATGAAATAATTGTCTACACCGGGCTAAGAGGTTAAAATAATTTTCTCGCAACATCATATTATACGCATAAAAATCCATACATGATACTTTTTTGTTCAGAGTAGGCTCCTTTGTGACCGGGTTAATGAGTGGAATTTGAAAATGATAACAAAAAAGTCAAAAATTCAAAATCTTTATTTGCAGAATAAAATGTTTAGGTAATACAGGTATTTAGTATAAGAGTAAGTCTCAATAATATTCTACCGGGAGTATTACCGGTGTGCAAATATATCTTAAAATAATCAAATTTAATTGTACATATGTGTCAAAAGATTATATATAATACATTATATTTAATCTTTTGACATATTTGTACAATTAATTATATAATACATTAAATAATATTGTAATTAATTAAAATATTCCTTAACACTATAATAACACTTGTCAATAAGCCATTTATTAATCTCAATTTTGAATTTATTCAAAGGCATTTCTTTTAAATTATTTGGCAATTTATTATATATTTTAATAGCCATTATAGGAGCACTGTTTGCATAAAATCTAGAGCTGCATTCGGGATGAAATAATCTATTTTTATGCCTTGTTTGCCTTTCGAGAGATTCAGCGTGGGTTTTGAAGTAGTTCGGGTGTCGCTTTACAAAAATACATATTTCTCGAATATACATGCATGGCAACAAAGGCTTGCAGCTATCAAGAAACCACGCACCACATATCGCTCGCACACATTTCTTTTGTAATTTAAACGCTCTAATCAACAGAATTTCCCCACAAAGTCAGAGCATATAATAATACTGACGACACATAACCGTGATAAGCAGCTATGGCTGCTTTTTGTGATATTGTTTTTCTTAATCTTTTTTAAGCATATACAAACCGGTTTAATTTTGTACAAATCTGGTCAATGTGAGGCT